CTGCTGAAAATAAAATCAGAATACTTTATGTTTAACTCACATATGTACATTTGAAAGCCATAGCCACTTACCTTCATCATGCACCATGTCCTGCAACATTCTAGAATCATTACATAATGTTCTCCCATTTCATCCCTCTCTGATGCAGGGGGAAGGAATTTGACCTTTTCCACCTTCTAATTAACTTTGAATGAACTTACCTAGCAAAAAATGTTCTCTTTACTAGTTAACCTGAGGGCAAAATTAAGGGAAAAGAAACAAAACCTTCTACAAAACAAAAAGTTAATACCCTTACAGTTGCCAAAAATGTAAATAAAAAGCCATGAGTAATCTTATCTTTTTTACAAACACATTTCTCTCAGATTCTACATACAACAAACATTTCAAGGCACATCATTACAACATCCCTTTAAAAGGTTCATATTTTAATTACTGAAGTGATTTTCCAAGACAAATCTAAACATTACCAGTATTATAGAATAAATATAATTTAGAACTTGATCCCCTCCAACACAAATTCATGTATTTCTTTCTTAGTATGTAACAAAGTAGAAGAAAACAGTAAATCTCTTGAATGCATCAGGTTTTGGTGTTTGGTTTGCTTTTTGCTTTTATTTTTTTAAAGTACCAAGACATTTGAAAAATTGAACTGCTTCTTTTCCTCTCCTTTAGTGCTGCCCCCACTCCCTCAAAAAGGGATTTATGCTAAAAATTTTGGAACTTATATATTACGAGCAATTCAACTTCTAAAACAGACAGACTATGTAGACACAATCATAAGGAATTTTGTAAGAAATGAAGTTTTTTGAAAAGCTTTAGTAATAATCCCTGTATTACTTAAATATAAAGTGTACTTCAGTGCACAGTTCAACAGCATTTCTCTGGTTATTTATTGAAATTAGAGCTGCTTAGTACTTTTGTGATTAACTTTATACCTTATCCACCACCATCTAAAAAAACCTCTTGATTTTTCACAGTTACATATATTTAAAGAGTGATATATTTTACAGAAAATACTATAGCTTGAGACACCACACTGTGAAATATATTTATCATAAACTTGTATTTCCAAATTTTCTCCTGAAGCCTCTACTTAAGAACCTAGTCCCTTAATTCAGTCATTTGTAGAAATAAACTCTATCACAGAAAGGTTTCACAGTTCTCAGACAATTCTGGTCTAGACATAATCACAATAACATCTAGCATCGTTTCTTAGGAATGAACATGCCCTTCTGAAAAACCACTTACAGTGTAACACTGTCTATACAAAATACAACCTAAGACACACATGCTGATTTTTCCCTCTGCCTTCTATTCCCTGCGCAAAAAAGCAGCAAATTTAAATTACAAAGTGACATTCCATTAGTCAGAATCATGTAGTGTCCTGGTACGGTATTAAGAAAACTCAGTTCCGTAATAATATGTACATACTATTTGTCTTTTCCTAATGCATCATTAACATCACCACTTCTATTCATCCTTAATGCAGACCATATCCTTGTGTTTACCAAGGCTCTTGACTTCATCCAGTAGTCTTTTAGGTGTCAAAATATGAGTAGAACCTGACAAAAGAAGAGAATTATTAACTGTATCAGTCTGCAAGTCAGAATTTCGGACATTCCCTTTATAAATAAATAAATAAATAAACTGGGGACATGCTGGTGTTTTTTTAATGTACCTGGAAAACTAAATAACAGCTCAAAGTGTTTTCAGGTGTTATCATATAAAGTGTCATTGTAAGTGTCAACATTAAGTAGATGGTGTCCCTTTTCCACACACTGAGACATCCAGACTTGGTTTCTTACTTTGGATACAAGTTTCAAGTCCCTGCTCTGCCTGGTTTGAAACACAGGCTAAGCCTTGGGCCACTTCTGCTGTACACATTTATTCCAGCCTGCAAGTAATGTGCTCATTCTGTTAAAGGGGGAGGTAACAACAAGCTTTCAACCTAGATTCAAGAAACTATCTGGACTAAAGAAGGTCTCAAACAGTATTTTTCCACAGAAATAGCAGTTACAGAAAATTGGCTCTTACTGACTAACATCACCTTGAAAAGTTTGCAACAAATTCCAAGTCTGGAGCAGAAAAGAAAACCCTTATAATTCTTCAAGAGTGCACAACTACTCTCTTGTTGTCATACAGAGTCATTGTAACTTTTGCCATGAAGAGTCACCCTAGAGTTATAAAGGGAACTCTTTAACTCTTTAAGATCAGGGCTGTCTTGAACCTTTAGTTTTAATAGTCTAAATGGGCTACTAATCCTTGAGTTCTGAATCAGGAACACAGGAAGACTTCATCTTGCAGTAAACTAAATGGAAATTTGGTAGGTAGTACCTTCCCTCAAAGACCAGGATTACTAACAAAACTGCAAGAATAACCTCTAAGCAGAAGTGAGGATGGTGCTGTGGAAAATTAGTGCCAGATACTACAGCAAGAGTGACCTAAACTCACTGTGGGTTTGTAAACAAGTGTCAGGTGAAGAAACAATCTTGCTAAACTACATTCCTGTTGTCCTGGTCTTCTGATTGCAGCTCAGAACTAGGACCAGCATTAAACCTACCTCAGCTACCACTGATGAAATCAGCAAACCAACCAAACAACAACAACAACAACAAAAAAAAAAAAAAAAAAAACACAAAAAAAAAAACACAC